ATAAATTAAAGGCACTAATTAATTAATATGAGAATTTTGATTGAAGAAGTTGCAATTTTAATTTATATATTTTTGGCCCCATTAATTGGTGTATTATAGACCAAGTTTAGAAGAATGGGTCTAGATAATACTTATGGTTTTTTGTTGCATAGTATATGGTTCAAGATTACGTGTGAATAAGATTTTTAATTTAATATTCCAATATATTAATTAAAGTTCATCCACCAAAACTCAAAACCGTGTTTCTGGTGATATCAAAAGCTAACCTAATTACTAATTAGTAATTAGCCTTTCATAATTATTGTTAATCTTAAGTGTCCTATAAATTAAAAAAATAATATATATATATATATATATATATATATTGGGATAACAATCCCTTTCTTAAGATAATTTAATCACCCCCAAATCTTCACTAATCACATGTATATAAATCCACAACCTTAGCCAAATCACAAAATTAAACCCCAACAAAAAAAAAAAACCAATAATGAAGAACAACAATTCATTATCCATTTCCATATTACTAATCTCAATTTTGATCTTCTTCACACAACCATCTCTCCAAAAATCAAATCCACCGCGGACGCCGCCACCGACAAATCCGCGTCTTTCCAACGCGTTCAAAACCGTGTATGACAATCCCTAGTACATTCGCCTCTCCGTCAAAACTTTTGGTACATTCGCCTCTCCGTTCAAAACCGTGTATGACAATCCCTTACAATTCGCAAATACCAATTCTTTGTTATGCAAACCATCGTCTGTCAATCGGGACGATTCAATCATATTAAAAGTATAAGCGAGGTACATGTCTTTCCTAAACCCATCGAACGTAGCTTTCGAGAGGATATTCATCTGAAAAATATAATAAAATTTAAATATTAATTAGTAAGAAAAACAAAATAAAACATATTGGTAAAATCATGAGATAAAGATAATTCATTCATTTATTTATACGAACCTATATGATTCTTTCATAAAATAATTAAAAGTATAAACACCAAATTTGAGCATATAATATATTGAAATTATAATTACGAAATTTGTAAAGATAATACAATATTATAAAATTAAAAATGAAAGAAAAATCATCAATACAAAATAACGAAAGAACTAAATAACAACATTTGCAAAAAATCAAGAAAACCTAATACCAAAAAGGAGCCGATTTTATCAAAACAAAATGCACATTAACCATACGTTTTTTATCGAATGAAAAATGATGGTGCAACAAAGTGAATCGGTAGGGGGTTTATATACTTATATATGATCAATGAAAAAAGAAACAATCCATTACATTTGGTAATAATATAAAAAACAATAATGAATAATTAATATGTGATACGCAAGATTCTATATTATATATATATATATATATATATATATATATATATATATATATATATATATATATATATATATATATATATATATATATATATATATATATATATATATATATATATATATATATATATATATATATATATATATAATATGTGGGTAATACGCAAGAAAACCTAATTTGATATATATAATATGTGGGTAATACAGATTTTTCTAATTTAATATTGAAATAAGCGAGGTATATATATCATGGCCCATTATACACACGCATGATTCTATTTTATGTATTGATATCTATAAATATATATATATATATATATATATATATATATATATATATATATATATATATATATCTCATACGATATATTTTTATATATGATAAATGTAAAATTATGATTTGAGTGGTAATTTCTATATATGCAAATTAATGACATATACAATTATACAAATGATGACATGTGTCTCTTAATTTTCTTAACCAATCAAATGGACACATGGGATGAAATTAAAGACATGTCATCATTTGAAATTGACAAATGTCAATCAATTAGGCATGCAATTCAACTTTTATATATTATATAGATTGAATACAACTATTTTGTAAGAGGATCCTCTCAAAAAGAAAAAAAAAATGTAGGAGGCGTTAAGAATAAAAATTATATTCAAAAATTAATTTCTCAACGCATTTTCCATACTTGTATAGTTGTATTAACTATATTAACGGTATAACGTATTACATAAACCAAGGATGTAAAAAGCGGTAATCGGGTCGGAGGCGGTCAGGCACCGACTCACGATTAATCGGTGCGGCGGTGATTAATCGGTGATAAATCGAGAATAAATCGGTTTTTAAAATTTAATATAATATATTTCTAGATATTGTTTATAAATACTGAAAACATATATAAAAAGATATTTAAACATAGTTATGTCTCCATCATGTATATATCCTAATAACATAATAAAAGTTTAATAATAATAATAATAATAATAAGATCATAATACATAAATATCCTTATAAAATATAAATAAAAAGCCATTTTTTTTGAATTTACATTTACTCTTGAACATTCCTCGCATACATCATTAATGCTTTAACAATAACTGTTGGAACCACGGCTGCACTTTGACGAACTCACGAAATTTGTGGATTGAGGCTTGTACTCCATTTGTTCTCTAATTTTATATGTAACAAGTTGCTGCAATGAAAACCACGATAATGGAGATAGGCAAGGTGAGGCGCGGACTAGGTCGCTCTCTTAAGACGAATTTCACGACCCCTTCTCTAATGAGGTGCAAAAAGGTTCCGATCATGTCGCCTATGTGATACAACAACCCAGCCTATCTCTCCGCTGTAACTTCACCGAAATTGCACGTTCAAGTGAAGCAGAAGCTTACACCCGACACACAACAAAAGCTCAAAGTATAAGTATATAGTATAGAAGAAAAGTATTTCTTTTATCTTCTCTTGTACTCTCTTCACTCCTCTCTTTACAAAAGCTACAAAAAGTCCCCCTTTATATAGTATAAAATTATAAGCACCCATAAAACTTCTATTTAATATAGAATTAAAAGGAAATTATGGAGGTTTTATGAGGCAAAAATTAAAGTCTTTATAGGTTTCAAAATGTTTGTCCAAATGACCTCATAAATTGGTCAAAGAAAATATTTAATAAAATATTATTTTTTATTAAAAAACCCAACAATAACAGTTAACATAAACAAAATAAAGCATAAACTCATATTTTTTTTATTAATATCCCAACTTTAATTTTGAATTATAAAAAAAAACCGATTTTTGACCGATTTTTGGCCGATTTTTGCCACCTAGTTTGACCTGCCTTAAAGGTTTGACCGTCTCGGACCGTCTAAAACCGCCTCACAGGCAAAAAATCGATTTTTCAAACATTGTCATTAAAATCGTAAAGGTTTGGGACCGCCCCCGCCTCGGAGACCGATTAATGAGCCGCCTCGGCCGATTTTTAGAATACTGACATAAACAATCATCTAGTATTTTGAAATCCGGACCAGACCGGTCGTTTGAACGGTTAAACAGCGAACCGTGGCCTTACCCGTTCCGGTTTGTCGGTTGAACTATGATATCGAAATCTAGTGAAAATCAAGTTTTTTTTTTTTTTTTTTTTCGCTTAAAAGTTTGCCTTTTTTTTTTAAATAAACAAACAAAATGGCTAAAACAATGTCTTTTTACTGTCTATTTGAAGCAATGAAAAAAATCAAAATACAAAGGTTTGAAATTAGAAGACATATTAGTTTAGATTGTAATTTATATAATATTTCGGATGATTATGGTGGTGTTTGCGAAAACTTTTTGAAAGTGATTATGAGTGTTTTTTTTTGCTCATAATATGTTTTTACGTATTTGCAAAATCAACTATTGCTTTTGCTTCTCTTAAAATAATCTGCTTTAAGCTATTTTTCTAAAAGTACCCCTAACCCTGTTTTTTCTATTTAAGTTCATTTTCCGGAATAATAGCAAACACCCCCAACTTTTAGAAATAAGCACTTAAAACTGACTTAACTCACAATCACTAACTTCTGCTTTTAAATAATCATTTGCGAACACCACCTATGTGTGATATGTGTGATATGTGTGTATTGATATATTGTGTGTGTAAAATAAAAGTTTGTTTGATTTACGTTTCAATTGGAAATGAGCAATGAGTTAATGTCTGTGAAAAAAAATATGGTTATTTACTATAAAAATTAAATATAATAATTGTAAATGAAAAAAAAAAATCGGTTGAACCCTAATTGAATCGGTTCAACTGTAACCCAGTAGCTTGTTCGAGTCAATGTCCGGTTCGATTTTTACAATATTGAATCATCTAAAGAATAGTCCCTTCAACAAGAATTTTAATTTTAATTTTTTTGACAAACGAGACTTCCAATTTTAGAATAATAAAAGGAATTCGCCGGTGATAATTTCTTTTATATAAAGAGGCCGAGTTAATTGCGACAAAACTCCTCGTGTTAATTCGAATTGCTTCAAAAGTCATTATATTAACGTAATTAACAAAAATCACTCATGTTGTATTTTTAAAATCACACCGCTCCCAAAATTTTAGGATAAATTATGACTAAACTTAGATTAAATTACAAAAACCACCTCCACCTATTCATAATTGTCAAACCCCATGATGTTTGTTTCTTTCTTACACCAACCCCTTACATTGTGACTTTTCACGAAATTTTTAGACTTAACAAAATTTCAGATATTTTCTTTCATTTCCCACCTAATTAACATAAGGTATAATAAATTATACATATTTTCTGTTAAAAAACTCGATCAACAATTAATTAGAGGGGGGTTTTGGTTATTACGGATATGTGGGGGTATTTTCGTTATTTAGTCTAAGTTAAGGGGGGTTTTCATAATTTACTCAAAATTTTAATATGGTCCTCGAGTGAAGCACAGTAGTACACATCTCAAAAGGATCTTAATTGCCTATAACTTTAGATATAGAGGGGGTATTTGTCAATTAAATATAACTCAAGGGTGCCGAATGCAAAACACCCTGAAAGCCGAAAGGCCCCTTGTGTGAATGCAGTTCATGTTTCTCATTCAACATCACGCGTTTACTTTTAATTTATTTTATTTTTTAAAACAGAAATAAAAAATAAAGAAATTCAGACACGCACTTTCTCCCTCATCTCTCTCTCTCTCTCTCTCTCTTCCGGCTCCCAGAAAAAATAAGGTAACTCATCGATTGCGATTTTCTTGTTTCCTGTTTCTCTATTCATTTACGAAAATTCAAATAATAATAATAATAATATCAACACAAAATCCCCAAAGATTTAATTTTGAATTTTGATTTATGTTTTTCTAGCATATTCATTTTCTGGGCTCCCAGCAATAGTGTATAAATCTCTTGATTGACATCCATTTCTTGGTTCTTGATTATACACACACACACACACACACATGTGTGTGTGTGTGTGTGTGTGTGTGTGTTCTGAGCAATTATGAGAAGCTTGATTTTCTGGAATAATTAGTTCTAGAAAATGAAAATTGCTTAGTTTGCTTGTTTATAAATGTTATATAAATAATTAGAAGTAATGCCTAACTTATGTGTAAGTTTCCTATTGTGTAAGAAGAATAAATTCTTGTGGGTATTTTTTGGATCAAGCGAGTTCGTATATTCGATTTTCAAGTTCGATCTTGTCGAGTAAGTTCGACATAGTTCGATAAGACTTTTGTCTAGCAAGATGCAGTAAGATTGCAATCTTATGGATTATATTGGATCCGATTAATAGTTAGTTAGTTGATAAATTTCGAAAGGTTTGATATGAAACTAAGAAAAGAAGATAAATTTTACGATCACCCCCTACCTTGTTAAATCTTTGTAGAATCTTAACCCGAGCAAAATCCGTCGAGTTTCGGAGTAAAATCCTTAATGTCTTTAAATTCTACGATTTTAATGATCATAGTGAAGCCCGACCATTTGCAAGATATTTACGATCCTACGATTTTACGATCAGATTTTACCATAATTAATGTGTGTAGGTAAGTTAATATGTTAATTGTCACTTAAATCGATTTTTTTTCTCTCTCTACCAGGTGTCGTGTGTTTCTGGAGAACCGACTCTTTGGCGCTGTGCCGAGGCTTATTCAGTTGCCGAAAAAATACTTTTCAGCATTTTCTTCGTCGGTCTTCAAAAAAGACAAACCAAGAAATGCTGAAAAAAAATGTTCACGAATCGAAATTCTCGTTCTCCGATTCGCCTCTTCGCCTCTTCGCCTCGATAAACGAGGATCGAATATTTAAAGCTCCTCCGTCAGTTATTGTATATTAAAAAAAGGATCTTTACACCTTCCAATATGGATAATAATAATAACAATAATAAAGGCGTCGTCTTATTGGATAGATACGAGTTAGGGAGGTTATTAGGGCAAGGCACGTTCGCGAAAGTTTTCTACGCGAGAAGTGTCCAAACGGGGCAGAGTGTGGCGATTAAAGTAATCGACAAGCTGAAGATAACGAAAGTAGGCGTCGTCGATCAAATCAAACGAGAGATATCGATCATGAGGCTCGTAAAGCACCCTAATATAGTTCATCTCCACGAAGTAATGGCGACGAAGACAAAAATATATTTCGTGATGGAATACGCTAAAGGCGGCGAGCTTTTCCACAAAGTGTCGAAGGGGAAGTTGAAAGAAGACGTCGCGAGAAAATATTTTCAACAGTTGATAAACGCGGTCGATTTTTGCCATAGTAGGGGAGTCTACCACCGAGATTTAAAACCCGAGAATATTTTATTGGACGAAAATGAAAATCTTAAAGTTTCGGATTTCGGTCTCAGTGCGCTGGCAGAGACGAGGAGATCGGACGGTTTACTTCACACTACTTGTGGGACCCCCGCTTATGTGGCGCCGGAGGTAATCGACAGGAAAGGGTATAACGGTACTTCGGCGGATATTTGGTCTTGTGGGGTTATTCTTTTTGTGTTGTTGGCCGGTTATCTTCCGTTTCACGATTCGAATTTGATGGAGATGTACCGGAAAATTGCTCGGGCGGAATTCAGATTCCCGAGTTGGTTTTCGCCTGAAGCACGGAGGCTAATTTTGAGGCTGCTCGATCCGAATCCGAACACTAGAATTTCGGTAGCGAGAATTAAAGGTAGTTCTTGGTTCAAACGGGAATTGAAGTCGAAAGCGACGAAAACAAACGATCCGCAGAGTAGTGTAGTAGAAGAAGAAGGTTCTCGAGAGAGAGAAATTGTCGATTCCGAATCGAGGCTTTCGAATTTGAACGCGTTTGATATTATTTCCTTATCGGAAGGGTTCAATCTCTCGAGATTGTTCGAGGAGAGTCGTCGTCGTGCGGATAGAGAAACACGGTTTGTTTCTAGGAAACCCGCATGCGCGATTATATCAAAGCTCGAGGAAGTGGCGAAGCATGTGAAGATGAAGATAAACAAGAAAGACGGAGGGTTGTTTAAGTTCGAAGGAACGAAGGAGGGTAGAAAGGGAATTTTGTCGATCGAAGCCGAGATATTTGTGCTGGCTCAATCTCTTCATTTGGTCGAAGTGAAGAAAACGAGTGGGGATACTTTGGAATATCGGAGGGTATTGGACGAGGGTTTAAGACCGGGGTTACAAGACATTGTTTGGTCTTCAATGAGTGAAGTACAACAGTTGAAGCAAGAGGAAGATTCATTACAGAAGCAGCCATTGTTGATGCGGGATCGAATACCTTGATTTTGAGGCTGAGTTTTTTTCTTTCGTTTTTTCGGGTTTTTTTTTTTTTTTTTTTTTTTATCATTATTTTTGTACACACTATATAGTATATAGTTATTATATATATTAGGTACAGGCCATTGAAATGGTTTCCCTTGTTTTTCTAGACCATGATGAGTGTGTGTGTATAAAAGAAAATTTTGTTGATGCAAGTTATTCTTGAATACCTGGACTGAATTCCCAGTAAATTGATATTAAATGAGTTGCACCAATTTTTTTGGGGAAAAATATCGTTTTTATCCCCAGATTTGTATCGATTTCACATTTAGTCCCCTATGTTCACAAAAGCGCATTTGGTCATTTATCTTTCAAACATTCTAACACTTTTAGCCCTTCTCATCAATTTTCTGTTATTTCTAACGGAATCAAATTTGTTCCAATGACTGCTTTAATTGACCAACTAACGGTAAACTGACGGAAATGACCAAAATAATTAAATTATTGAAATACGAGGGATCTAATATGTTTTTTTCTTCTTCTTGTGAACATAGATGACTAAATGGGAGATTAGTACAAACTTGAGGATGAAAACTGTAATTCCCCCAATTGTTTTTCATTTGTTTTTCTTGATCCTCTATCTCTTTGAGATTATGTGTAGTAATTACTAAATTAGAGCTAGACTTTTTCAAGTTTGAAAAATTGCACAAACATCTCCCTACCAAAAAGGTTATATCCAATTGTTATTTGTTTATTTTTGTTATTACATTATCAACAAATTTAGTGTTTGAAAAAATATTAACTGAGGCAAAGAAAAAAACGAATAAATCAAACTAAAATAAAGAGGCTCTTTGAGAAAACTCCTATAAGCTTTTCTATTAGCAAAAATAATGTTTTGAAACCCGGACCGGACCGGTCGGTTCGATCGCGAATCGGAGCTTTGTTCAGTCCGGTTAGCCCTATCAACCCGAAAATTACAAAAAACCGGTCTAATTGTTAAAAATTGGTTTTTTGACCGGTCGGACTGTAAACCAGGAAACCGGGTAAAAACCAATTTTTTGGCTGAATCCACGCGTTTTTAATAAATCCCAAAAAAGAGGCCACAACGACGTCGTTTTAGTGCATAGAAAAAAAAAAAGAAACCTCTATGAAAGGGAAGTTGGAACGTGCGTTTATGTTTCCATGTTTCACAAAAATTCTATTGTGATTTGATTTCTGCCGAAATACGACAATATCAAAAGTCGTTTTCTTTGTGAAAAAAAAAAAGAACAACTTGTATTGCTAATTGTAGTTTTATGCTTAACTCATACCAATATTTCATATTGGTGATAAATAGGCTATTTTACATAATTTTTTGCATAGATAACCATATAAATTAAATGTAAATAGTTAAAAAATAAATATTCAAAAACCCGGTTGGACCCTGGTTTGAACCAATTCAACCGTGATCGGATAGTTTGGCCCGGTCAACGTCGAATCCGATTTTCAAAACATTGGAAGAAACCACCATATTTTCATTAGTAAGGATACCTTAATTTTTTATAATGCTAAATCTACATTCTTCGCACTTCCCACTACCACATACAATGCCTTTTTCATTTTTTTTTTTTTCAATTTTAAAAGGTAAAAATCGTCAGGTTCAGCCGACTACTAAATCATAGTTGATTAGCGTTGTATTTTAGAGAATAAAGACACGTATTCGTTATAATTTCTACATTCAACCGTTGTCTTGTCGACATAACCATAAAATACACAACATCGAAGTGAAGATTTGGCGGCGGATGAAGCTGAAGGTGAAAGGACTAAACACGGTGAAGAAGCTCATATTAAAAAAATCAAAAATCCGGTTGAATCGGTTCAACCTTATAAAACCATGACCCAAATGGTCGTCCGGTTTCATGGCCGGTTCGGTTCTGACAGTATTGTTTTTTTCATTAAAAATATTTTTGGAAAGAATAAAATATTATTTAATGAAATTAAGTTGAATTTTTTATTTAAATTTTATTGTGTATTGGTCCTTGGTATCCATCTCTTTTTTCTCTTAAATTTTACA